TTGATCTCGAGGTCAAGTTTTCTGATAAAAGTCGCTCCAAAACTTGTCGCCTCTGAGGACAGATGCGCTAAGTATCGCCTACATTTGACTGGAGTTTACAAAGCGGACTATTGCGTTTTTTCTCAGTTTCTAGCAAGTTCAAATGTTGTCCTTTCGTGAGTGATGCGTTTTATAAAGCTGCATGCGATATTAAAAAGATTTGTGCAAATCGATGATGAAGCATTGGCGCAAGCACGGATAAACCGCATCATCAAAGAAAAACATGGAATTTGTGCATAAAAACCTTACCTACTCGTAGTGTTCCTCGCTATTTCCTTTTTCGTTTTTGTGTTTATCTCAAGTTTCTTAGTTCTGGGTGATGCCACTTTTCCATGTCATGCGTCATTATGAATATGCACAGATGTTCATGTCATATCCAGCTTTTCAAACCGCATCACTCACAAAAACATAAGACATGAACTCAATAAAAACTGAAAAAAAAACCTCAATGAACAGTCCACTTCATATACTCCAGCTGATTGTAGGGAATACTTAGCGCATCTGTCCTCAATGGCGATGTAAGTCTCAAAACAGTCATTATTCAAAAACTTGTACCTCGAAACCAGCCTGTAACAGAAATATTTGAAAAAGACATAAAAGTAGAGAAAAATCGGTTGATTGGTGAGTTTTCGCGCCGTACGCGCCCTAGGGAGACAGTGGCTCGACCCACTGCGCTTCGGCTCAATAGCGGCAGCCGGCGCAAAGCGTCTAACGGCTGCAAAAGCGGCAGTTGGCGCGGTCTGGAAGCTCCCTAAGCAGTTTCGGGCGTACGCCGAGCAAAGGTGAGACTTTATGTGACAGAGGTGTCATCGATGGTTTGATTACCCGAGTTTGGGGTACTTTCTTTTAGCGGAAGGTACCTATGGGCTGTGCGGTCCTCCACAAAGGATCGCGCGGCCCTCAATAATTTTGCATATTCTCACGGAAAGTCCGCGAGAATACGGCCATTGCGTCGCAACTACTCTATAGAAAAATCCTACTACTCCGAGCATTCGTCTAAAAATTGGCCGATCTTCTTCCATACCTCGTTTAGTTCCGTCAGCATCGTCTCTGCTTCAGTGATACTGCTCGAGAAGAGAACGATACCGTCCGCAAAACGAAAGTTTGACAGGAATCTCCCATCAAGTTGCATCAAAGGTGCGATAGGGGGAGCCGGGCCCTCTCCAGGTGGAGAGGGTCTCTGCTACTCCCATCCTTGTAAGTTGAAAGGGGTATGAGCTCTGAAAGCAAAATGCTCCAACAAGTTACGTACCATTCGAAAGCTGAGGTCATGTAGAATCGACGTAGACCATCGACCTTTTTCTAGGTCGTCTGTGCCGCGAGACATGAGGGATTTTATGTACTTCATATATCAACTGATTTTGTGCCCTTAGTGCTCTCCAAATGAACGCTACGAGAAAATTGACGATCTACGTTTGTTAATGAAGACTTGCTCTGTAACATAGGTAGATAACCAGCAGTGATTAGGTCTTTGTTTGGCAGAAATCTGCTGTTGAAAATGGACATGATTTTAGATAAAATGCAGTGTATCTTTCGGTAGAAGGAGGCTAGAAAGAAGTAGACAGTCTACTTCGAATCCCCTTTTCCTGAGCTTTCGAATGGTATATGAATTGCTGGGCGAAAAAAATTGCCAGTTTTTAAGAATGGGGTGAAGATATTTGCTATTAGCTTGCTCCACCCAGCTCCCCCACTCAGATAATCGCCGGGAGCAGGCGCTCCGCAAACTCGTGGTTTTCTGCGAGCGGTCAGCAGAATTTTGGGGCGTGGCCAAACCTTCAGCGAGCGGTCTTCCTTTACTGTCTGATGTTCTGCCAGCGGACAGCAACACAGAATTTTCTGCAGGCACTCGTCAAATAATCTCTTTTAGCGAGCGCTGGCCAAACTTTCAGCAGGCGCTCGGACTCTTTTTACGCAGTTTCCGGCCTACGTCGAACACAGGTAAGACTGTGTGGCACTCACATAATCGCCGGGGGCAAGCGGCGATGCGATTTATGGGCAGGCGGGCACCGGAAAAATAGTTCGTTGATTTTTTGCGGCCCGCTTGCAGAAATTTGGAAGAAAGTTGGCGAAATTAAAGACGAAAGCTTGAAGAACAATGCGGTTTCTTTATGGATTAGCTGCGGCGCAGTGGCCGCATTCTCGCGGACTTTCCGCGAGAATATGCAAAAATTTCGAGGGCCGCACGGTCCTTTGTGGAGGACCGCTCAACCCTCAGGTACTTTCCGTTGAGAGAAAGTACCTCAATCTTGAGTAACTAAACCAACGGTGACACCTCTGCCACACAGAGTCTTACCTGCGCTCGACGTACGCCCGAAAATGCCTGAAAAGAGTCCGAGCGCTTGCTGAAAATTTGGCCAGCGCTCGCTGAAAGAAATTATTTGCGGAGCGCTTGCAGGAAATTTTGTATTGCTGCCCGCTGGCAGAAGACGAAAGTACCGCCCGCTGAAAGTTTGGCCACGCCCCAAAATTCTGCTGACCGCCTGCAGAAAAGCGCGAGTTTGCGGACCGCCTGCCCCCGGCGATTATCTGAGCAGAGGCTCAGATAATCGCCGGGGGCAAGCGGCCATGCGATTTTTGGGCAAGCGGGCACCGGAAAGATAGTTCGCTGATTTCTTGCGCTCCGCCTGCAGAAATTTGGAAGAATATTGTTCAATTTTTTGACAAATGCTCGGAGAAGTGTCGCAGTTTTCTTATGGATTAGTTGCGGCGCATTGGCCGCATTCTCGCGGATTTTCCGCGAGAATATGCAAAATTATTGAGGGCCGCGCGGTCCTTTGTGGAGGACCGCACAGCCCTCAGGTACTTTCCGCTGAGAGAAAGTACCCCAAACTTGGGTAATAAAACCATCGATGACACCTCTGCCAGGTAGAGTCTTACCTTAGCTCGGCGTACGCACGAAAGTGCATAAAAGGAGTCCGAGCGCTTGCTGAAAGTTTAGTCAGCCCTCGCTGAAAGAAATTATTTGACGAGCGCTTGCAGAAAATTCTGTATTGCTGCCCGCTGGCAGAAAAGGGAAGTACCGCTAGCTGAAGGTTTGGCCGCGCTCCAAAATTTTGCTGACCACTTGCAGAAAAGCGCGAGTTTGCGGACCGCCTGCCCCCGGCGATTATCTGAGGGTGTCACCGTTCGTTCAATTACTCAAGTTTGAGGTAATTTCTCTCAGCGGAAAGTATCTGGGGGCTGCGGGGTCCTCCACAAAGGACCGTGCTGCCCCGAAAATTTTGCATATTCTCGTGGGAAGTCCGCGAGAATGCGGCTACTGCGCCGCAGTTAACCTTTGAGAAAGCCGCGATTGTTCTCCAAGCATTCGTATAAAATTTCGCTAAAATTCTTCCAAATATCTGCAAGCGGACCGCAAGAAATCAGCGGATTATTTTTCCGGTGTCCGGCCGCCCATAAATCGCATGGCCGCCTGCCCCCGGCGATTATCTGAGCGTCTTAGTACTCGCGTCACACACGCGCTCGCGATTGCAAATGCATTCTGCAGGGCTTAACAGTTCTTGCATGGCTCGTGAGGTTTCCATCTGACATGATTTTGGTGGTGCGCTTCGATCTTCTCAGCTCGGCCTTCGGTCAGAGGCTGGCAGGAGGTAGGCGAATGTCAAGCGGGAAATTTGAATGGAAAGCAAAGGGGATATGTAATTATACGTTCACACGTATTATATTTACATACACTCTTTCGCCAAGTTGCTACACGGCTGACATGCAAAAGCACGATCTTGCTCGCGCGTCATCTTCACAAATGTAAATTTTACTTGAGCTATAAAATGTCTCGGTCACAGCGCACATACAACGGTATGGCTAAGAATTCGGAGTATAAACGGACATGGACTAGAAGGAGCGCAGTGCAGAGTATTGTGGAAAAATTATGTGACTGAAGGTTGTGACAACTTTTCTAGAAATCTCCCACTACCACAAAATGACACAGTGGCTCCTTTGCAACGCGCAGATAATGATGGCACGAATTTTGATGTGTATACACGCAGCAGGTATAGGGAACTAAGTGTGGAGAATTACGGAAATTTAATCGAATGAAGAGCGTATTTAACTCTCAAATTAGATGGGCAATTTCTCACCTAAAGCCCACTTGTAGTAGGAAAAAAAGCAGGTTGGTGGCAGGTTGAACACGCGCATGCTCCACAGCGCACATGGGCTCAATCTTATCTTTCTCTTCCGCTCGCATCAGCGTGGCTTCTGCCAAGCTGTTCTCGACATGAACGTTGGAAGGGTCTTCCGTATTGGAAGCTACACCGCAGTACTGAGCGCTTCCTTCCAATCCGGCATATCCAAGAACAGACAACATCTGTTGATGATTCTATATCATCAGCCTAGAGCTCAGTCTAAAAATAGCCGATGGAGCATCCATACGCTATATTCCCATATACTCTATATAAGTATCTAATTAGTCTTGTATGATATTTGTGCACGGGAGTCGACCTCTACGACGGCGTCCCCTTTTAAAGGCAGCGTCCGGGCAAAATTTTGAATAAAATTTTTTCCGCTTACCTGGAATTCTTCTCGCTGTTTCCGAAAACGCAGCTTACAGAGTACGAAAATGTCGAAAACGGGCTATTCCAGAAGCTGTTGATTTTGAATGTGGACGCTTGCCGCCGAGGTTGAGACGCAGAGTCGTGGTGGACCCTACGTTTTGACTATGTGCGATATACGTACTCTGGCTATCGATTGAAGGGGCGGGCAGGTCACGAGAGCTTAATCAGGGCGGGAACCCCTATACGCCACAATTTCATATCAACCCGGACGCTGCCTTCAAGCTTGTAGTCCATCTACAGCGATCCCACCAAGCCTAATCATGTACATACTTGATCCACTTATCACCTTATTCGCCCACTCAGCTTGCTGCAATCAGTAATCACGCCTCAAATAGTCGTTATCAGTCATGACACGACCACCTTCCAACATCGCATTTGCATAAATAGGGGTAGAAACACGCTGCAATAACTATGTTGCTTTTATCCGCCGTCTCGCTCCCCGAAAGTGAAGAGGATCTGCTCGACGCGCAATTGGATAATGAAGAAGATGAACCGGTCACCGAAGTCCTACTAGCCGCTGCCCCAAGTGAACCAGCCTTTGAGCCAAGAAAACGCCCGAGGCGCTATCGACCGCAGCCACCTTGTGCCGAACCCGACGAACCGCCAAGAAAAAAGGTACAGTCGCTAGTTACTTCGAAAGTATTGCGCTCAAAGGAAGTTCTTGAGGCATACCGAGAGAATGATTCCAAGAAATGTTCTACTCGATAATGGACGCCCTTGATGAACAACGCAAACTGCAGCAACTGCTGGACAACAAAATCGCATCGAAGCCCTCCTCAATGCAGTACTCAAGCGGGACAGGAAAAGGCACCACTTGCCCCACGGTCCTGCCCACATGCCACTGCGAGGTGTGTTTTATGGCAGGACACCAAGCAGCAGAATGCGCAACAAAACAAAAATGGATGCGGTACAAGTGGAGCGTGTGCACAAGGAAAGGCATGTGCAAAAAAATGTCATTGTATAGTTGTAGCGTGTCCACTTCGTCTTTATATATGTATCATTTCATTTCTCTAAGATGTTTAACTTAATTGTTAAAATAAAATATCCTCTCTTGATGTTGTACACAAATTTTTTTTTGCCCCCCGGAGTTGGTGATTCTATATCATCAACCTAGTGCTCAATCTAAAACAGCCTATGGAACATCCATAGGCTATATTCCCATACACTTTTATATGCGTATCTAATCACCCATCTACAGCGATCCTGTCCTCGGGTAGATTCCGCCCCTTTTACAGGTATAAAAGGAATCCCCGAGTGTATGTTATGTTCGTCTCAATAAACAATATCAACGATTATCACTATCGTTAGCGAGACATTAGTTTACACCAAAACAACTCAGTTTTTGGTTGGACGTGCACCCCCTTCGAAATCATAGCACTTTCTGACTGTTGTCTTCGTTCTTTGCGTCTCAGAGCATCACGTGGGACGAATCTTCGAACGGCTCTCTTATTTGTATTATCGAGAGTGTTTCTAATGTCCGCACCAGACAATCCAAATTGTAGCGCGTTCATACCGAGTACAACTCTGCCGTTTTCTCCTGCTTTAACAAAGACGGCAGATCCATCGGGATTTCTTTGACATCAACACCTAGATCGAATCTTTGCCTTTGCTCTCTACAAACATCTTCAAAGGAATGATGCAGCACAGCTTCTCGAACTAGGCCCAGCAGACGCACTTTTGCAATCATCTGCTCACCAACTGTCTCTCTTTTCCTAGCCAATAAACTTACCGAAACATCCACTTATTCAAAGATGTCCTGAAGTTCCTTGCGGCTCCTTCGGGTACCCCCACTGGTCTCGAGGTATTTGGTTTGCTGCATTCACGGCTGTAATGTCCTGTTTCATGCAGGCTACTGCCACCTCCGAGATGCCACTGAATCTTTTGGAGGACCAGCGGACTCTACACTTCCGCCTGACGTTGGGTTTTCACTGGTATGTCTCAGCGTTTGCATATGGCGTTGCTACTTCTACGAGTTGATTATCCATCATGGCCAGCTCCTTGCTGTGCTCACATTGCTGTGCTATTGCTTTCACAATTTCATACGCCAGCTCTTTAGGTGCGTTCTCTAGTGCTGAGAAGCTGCAGAAACTCAGGCCACTCGCTTAGTTGGGAAATTAGCTCTGTAGCTCTAGTCCTTGGCAGCTCCTTTTCTGACGCGTCTGGGTAAGCTCTTTGCGTTAGTTTCTCTAGCTCCACTAGGTACGAGGCTAAGTCTTCGCCCGTCCTCAAATGCTTGAGGAGCTCCATATAGGCCTTCATCTGGTTTGCAGAATCGTGGACAGTGAATTGGCTCCGCATTCTCGATGATGTCTTCTAGTGTGCCTTTCCTGATCTTCTTTGGTAGCGCTTGCCATCGTTTTTGGGTGTCCCCCTAGTTTCGAAAGGAACAAGTGCACCAGCATATTTTCCTGCTACCTCAAGCCACTGTATTTTATCCTGAGTCTCATCACAAACTCCTCCCATCCTTTCCCCTGAGGGTCCGTGAAGTTTCCACTTCGAGAGGGTCACCGCGGCAAACATCTGTGCCACAGAATGAGTATCAGGGTCTCTACTTCTACACTGCGAGCGGCGTCTGCACGCTGAAAAGCTTGATCCTGCCTTGCTCAGAGATTGACGATGTTTCGACCGCTGCAAACTCTCTACAAGGAGTTTTTCGGTACATCCTGGATATGCTTAGTCATAACCAGGGTTGAGCGTGGGGACAGGCGCGCCCGACCTAGGGGATCATAGAGGGTAAGACTGAAGGAGGGGGGTCGTTATTAAGAATCGAATTTATTAAGTTGGGGAGATACTGTGAGGGTGAAGAAGAAATGCGCTAGTCCGGTGGGTATTGCGATCACATGAAGGAATGACGGTCGTAAACAGCATACTGATTGTTTCCACAATGGAAGTTTCAGCCAAAATTCAAATCTTCTTCTCTTTTACCTTGACATATGAGGTAAACAAGCTTGCTGTGTGAAATGGGTATTATTTCCATAATCAGCATGTCAAATTACCACTATGCGCTCTACAAACCATTACCTATTGCAGTTTCTAGTGTTTCTCAGCGTCTAAAAAACGTGATTTTCAAACGTGAGCAACTTAGTTTCAGAGGTGAGAGAAGTCACCTTTTGTATACTCATGACAAAGTAATTTGCTCTACAAGTCTATGCTACAAATCGGGCTTCATATCGCTTTCAAACAGTGAAGTAAGAAGTGCTGCCAAAATTCAAACCGACGCGTTTTTCACGTTGAGTGCTTCAACTTCTCGGATTAGCACAAGGCCGAAATAAGTCGAATCAAGCTCAAACACTTACTGGGGAATCTTCGAGGATTGAGCTAGCGAATCACATAAAACTTGGATAGAAAAGCATTTTCGGAAACAAAGTTGATGGGGTCAGGCGCAACCCCTCAGAGGGTCAGGCCGCCTGAGCTTTTCAGGGGTTGCGCCTGACCCTCTTAAAGGCAGTGTCCGGGCAAAAACTCGATTTTGAGATTTTGTGCTTACTTGGGCCTATTCGCTACGCTGATTCCGAAAATGCACATTGGAGAGCGCGTAAACGGCGAAAAAGGGCTCTAACGCAGGAGGGAAATCAGCAGGTGGGCGGAGTCCTCCCCACTGCTAATTCACGCTCCCAGCTTCCAGAGCGACATTCTTGTTTTCGGTTTCAAGTCAATCATTCGCACTTGGGCGGTAACGATGTGAGGACTACTAACGGAATCGAGAAGATCGCTCCGGGAGCTGGGAACGTGAATTCGCTGTGGGGAGAGCCCCGCCCACCTGCCGATTTCCCTCCTCTGTTAAAACCCTTTTTCGCCGTTTTCGTGCTTTCCAATGTGGATTTTCGGATTCAGCATAGCGAATAGGCCCGTATAAGCACAAAATCTCAAAATCGAGTTTTTGCCCGGACACTGCCTTCAACATTCAAAAATCGCCCCTTTTTTGGTATGAGAATTGAGCGCAAAGCCTCTTCTTGCTGTATTGAAAATTTGAAGCCAAACATTCCACCTTGTGAATTATAGCTCTGAAAAGAGGACTATCCAGATCTAAAACTTGCCGTTAAGTTGCGTGTTGTTGTGCAATCGCAGAAAGTCGGGCCTACAGACCAAAAAATAGAAACTTGCAGTAAAGGCTGGTCTTCTTCAAAATATAACACCCTGAGGACTTGGAGGTGAAACGGAGGGTCGTTTAGGGGCTTTCACAGGGGGGGGGGGGTCGTTTTTGAAGGACTTGTGCCTGGCCTCTTGCTCAACCCTGGTCATAACAGCTATCTGCAATGGGGCTCTGTGCTTTGCCAATTCACCACGCAAGCATTTCTAGCAAGTTGAAAATCTCAGCTGTTATCACACTAACGGTACACGCACTGTGCTCTGCCTCTCTCAATGGATGTGCCTGTCCTATGTAATTGAATGCGATACATTTGCTTTTCCGTATATCTCTCCGACGCAGAAGGTGCAGTATCCGGTACACGCGCGTACGCTCCTCCCCTCGGGTGAAAGCTGGCCGTGTAAACTCCTACGCTTCTGCACAGACGAAAAGGCTCGATGTGCTAAACACCGATTCTTTCGCAAGGGAAATATACTCTGCCTTTTCTAGGGCAGGATACTCACCTTAACCGTTTAAGGTTTTCTACGCGGAAGAGTTCCTCCTCTGGTTCGGCCCCTATGTAGTGTAGAAGAGACTTGGTCTCCCTATTACGCAATATTTGGCCTCAGGGTAGGCGCTATCGCGGGGGCTCGGCGTGGTGTTCAGGGCAGGGTACCGGCACAGATCGTTTGGAAGCAGGCTGGACTTCGTTTTTGGAGCAAAAAGCAAAAAAGATAATTTCGACGATTCGCGGCCGAGCACCAGGAAGAAACGCCATTTAGTCGAACACAAGCTTTTCGACAGGTTGTCACGCGATTGACAAGCTCCATCGTGTATGACGAAAAGTACGCGCGATTCGAAAGCAAGGCTAAAATAAACAAATTGCTTGTTTACAGCCTACACAGAATCATATGACACGAAAATTGAACTGTATGTATAGAGAATTATTTGCGAAAGGATTATATAGAAAGATTTGAAAACTTATGTGAAGTACTACCTTTTCCAAAGTTAGTCCGTCACCAGACGATCTGAGATCGTCTGCAGCATATATTTCTGTTACTTCACATAAGTTTTGGATTTTTCTATCATGGACGGATTCCCCAGTCAAAAATACATCCCTAAACATGAAAACATTTTCATATCACTGCCTTCCCTTTGTTTTTTGCCTTAATTTCTTCATATGTCGCTTTGTTAGATATCGCGCTCCAATGCCAAACTCTTGTGCATGCGTGGTATTTGGCTTCAATCTGTGTTTTGACTCTTATCTCACGTTTTTTCTTTCAGACTAGTAAATGTTTCTTGTTTACATCTTTTTCTAAGTAGGTAGGTCAAAGGGGACTTCGTAAAACTTCCGAAAGTCAGGGGGAGACTTTGTTTTCAGAAACCCTAGAAACCGACTCGTGCCGGGCCCTGGTTCAGGGATATGATGGACGTTGAAGAACAATCCTCCTTTGTTGAAGAACAATCCTCCAGGCGATCGGCGCGTCCACGTCTCCTCGGCTTGGCTCCTTGATTTGATCCGACCGCACTCCTCGTAGCACGACGACGACCAAGCAGAGCCGCCTTATATAGCGGCCCGAGAAGATGTGCGGGCGCCCGATCGCATGGCCCCTACATGAATAAACCAAAACATGAGAAAAGCACTAAAGCACCAAATAAGCGCATACAAATCGACTAAACAGGACTCGATAACAGTAAGAACAAC